AGACAGACAGACAGACAGACACACACTTCACTTCTTTAAGTATAGAAGGAAATAAAGTCAACCATTGACCTGTGTCTCAAGTAACTGAGGATTTATGAAGCCTCTCAATGCACTGATTCCAAAGTGCACCTCAATTCTCTGAGTTGCTCCAGGACAGGCGTCTTCAAACTTGACAGCTTTAAGACTTGTGGACTTCAACTCCCAGAATTCCTCCTCCAGTCATTTCAGCTCAGGAATTCTGGGAGTTGAAGTCCACAAGTCTTAAACTTGCCAAGTTTGAAGACCCTTGCTCCAGGAGATGACGTGCAAGAAGAGATGCCTAGAGCATAATTACAGTGACTCAGGCAGGGAAAGCTTCCAGGGCCATAGCAAAAGATATTCATGCTATCTGATAGACACACATTTCTTAGGTTTGCACTTTTTCTGAGCAGGACCAAGTGAGTTACCCGAGGCCCAGTCTTGTGATGCACCCACATATTTGCATTTCGAACCTGTTGTAGCTCTTGGATGGTCTTCAAGAGTAGCCCAGTATCCAATTGTGAAGTGACTGAAGGCATGGGTGACACCTGAGTGGCCAAGGGTGCAACTGGGGCACAAGGTGAATCTTGCCCTCTTGCTTATAAGTGTCACCTATTCTAGGTGCAGTACAGTAGCTGCAAGTCTAGGAAGAGCCCAAGTTACGCATTAATGGGAAAGTGCAACATTTTTTTCTGTTCCAAGAGAGTAGCTCCCTCCAAAGGGAGTAGGGAATACATATGTAGGATATAGCACCTTTTGCCCATGTGCTACTGCTGCTTTATGAGCTGCACTGGTTACCAGCCAGCTTCTAGTCACCAATAAAGCCCTTCATGGAATAGGAATTTAAAGGATCACCTTTCTCCAATTTCTGCCAATCTGGTATGATCGAACAAGGTGGATGCACTCCTGGTCCCTTCAATTAAACATTGTCATTTTATGGGACCGAGGAAGCGTGCCATCTCTCTTCCATTTCTGCTCTTTGGAACAGCACCCCCAGAAATACGTATGGTTCCCACACCTTAAATGTTCCAGGTGTCTCTTAAGATCTGGCTGTGTTCCCAGGCCTGGGATCAGGATATTTGTGGGAGCCCTGTCAATTTATTTCCTTGGATTTTGTTTGTGTAATTTTACCAGGGTATCCTATTTCTTTTAAATTATGTATTCTTTGAAATGTGGTAAGCAACTTTTTGGAGTCAGGAAGCTTCGAAATCCAATCAATAAATAATGACAGTCATAAAAAGAGTTTTTCTCTGAAGCTAAAGACCACCCATCTAATTCAAGAAGCCAGGAAGGAATAAATGAACGCACAGAAGATGCTTCTTTCAGCTAAGCAGCACTCGTGACTGAAGGCTGTTTCATCACAGCAGTTCCTGCCCCCCCCCCACTTCACAACCTCAGAGGAAGAAAGACACAAACTATATTGTTTCTAATCCGAGAATCATCTCTCCCTAACAGCTTTAAGAGTCTAATCAGAGGAGGTGCTTAGCTGGTGCCAGCAAGAGCCAGCATTTCCAAGCAATGTGTCTTTCTTTGCACAGGAAACTGGTAGACCAGCCCATCCTCATATTGTGGCAAGGAATTAACTCCTGCTTAAAGACATGGCAGAAATATATTTGTGCCTGTTTGGCGGAGGGGAGAGCATATTAAACAATATCAGATTAAAGGGGAAAATCTATCCTACTCAGTTCAAAGAATTTAAATTTGATACTGGCTTACAGGAATCTAAAGTATCTCTATTGCTAACCATGGTCCTGGGAGCCCAAATCATATTGTTTTCATCCCTGGAATTTGTTACTGAAGCCTAGGAATTAAATGTTTTTTTTTTATTTATGATATGAATCTATCTACAAATGCAAGAAGTCTTCAAGTGCAAGAAACAGAAACATTCAGTTAAGAGTGCAAAATGATTCCTAGATATTTTAACCAAACTGTTTTTTCTTAGAACATGCATGTAACAATACTGGCCTCCCTGAGCAAGCAGTGATTCCTAATACAAATACCTCATTTCTAGATAAGATAATGAGCCCTATGTCTCTGCAAAGAACCAAAAGCTTCTACCAAGCTGTTAGTACACTCTTCCCTTCTGTGCAATCTGTGTTCAGAGTGCTATAACCATGGTTAAACTAACTATGATGGGGGGGGGGAGAGGAAATCCCTCAATCTTTAGGATTGGAATTTCACAAGAAATGATAAGCTAACCAGATAGGTTAGTCATTAGTTCATACCTAGTAGGAAAAAATATGGCTAACAGATTCCAATTTAGTGTGTTGTGTGAATTAAGACTAACACAAGGCTCTTCTTGGCCAGTTTAGATCAGAAACATTTCCATAAGAACTGCACCAATCTTATTTCCACCTCCTTTGAACTTAAAATATTCCAGGACATGCTGATAGTCCAGATGCTGCATGGGGTTGAAACCTGGGGATGGGATGTGGAGGTTATTTTTCAATTGGAAGTAGTCTAAAACATCTTCTTAAAGAAGATCTTGGGGCTCCCAAGGGCACCCCCATAGCTAATCTAAGAATGGATGCTAGGTTACTCTTCATTGCTGACAGAATACATCTTGCATTGCTGGGGCACTATAAGAAATCAGAAAGTCTTCAAGAATCTATCTTTGCTTTCTTCACTACTCCATTACAGTTGGGAATCAATGGACTGCACTTTTGTCACCTATAGTAACTCAGCTCTTGGAAAATAGAAAATATTAGGCTTTTTGATGTTTGGTGTAGTTAAGGTCCTGGCTTAGAAACCAGGCGACTGTGTGAGTTCTAGTCCCACCTTAGGCATGAAAGCCAGTTGGGTGACTTTGGGCCAGTCGGTATCTTTCAGCCCAATCTGTCTCACATGGTTGTTTTGTGAGGAAAAGAGGAGGAAGGATTATGCATATATGTATGCCACCTTTATTTACTTACAAAGTGATCTTTAGTTATGCCACATTTAGTTATTTATAAAGCAATAAAAGCAAAATAAATATGCTACTACAGCAGATTTTAATCACTATAGAAAACATAGAAACATCTCTTAATACCTGGTTAATATTACCAACATCTTAATCAGAAAAATTTTTATATCCATTTGCAGACTATGGCTTCAGATATTTTGAGGGGAGATTTTGTAAACACTTTGAACAGTTTCTGTCCCGAAGATATGTCAACTGAAGGGCATTATTTCATGTTGTCTTCCATTGCCCATTTACAATGAAATTTTGACCACATTATGAATGGTAGGTGAATTCAAGAGCTCCTACTAGAATGGCTAAATTATGTTGCAGATATGTTTCTAACTTTAGTAGCCAGATTGCTACTTTTGCTCTGTCCTCATTTAAACTCAAGTTGTTAATCATAGCCCCGATTGTATCTTGCTTTGACCTCTTTGTATCCAACATTGTTTCATTTTGTTATATTGTATTTCATGCTGTGTTACAATGCTATGATCCATAGTTTCAAAAAGAAATCTTATTCATTTTACTTGACTCCCAACCACTAACTAGGAAATTCCACCAGATATCTATTTGAGATCCTGGCTTGGTACCATTGATATCATTTTTCAATGCCTGCCAGCTCAGCTCTATCAAATTCTTTAATAAAACACCATTACTATACAAAGCCACTGTGAGGTGAAGGTGTTGGTCTAGGAGCAGGGTTCTAGTCCATTCTCAGCACCTTGGAGATAGTCTCTCTCAGCCCAACCTACTGTACCTGAAAGGCTTCTTATTAAGGGGGGAAAACAGGAGGAGGGGGCACTATATTCTTGCCTATAAATATATAAATAGCGGCACTATAAATCTAATAAATGCAGAACGTTCATTGCTTTCTTTTACTAATTTATAAATGGTGACTGACTGTATCCACTCCTACTGCACTAGCTCACTGTGAAGACAACTCTTAACTTCTTTCCTACTGAACTTAAGATCTCCATCCCAAGGACAGCAGATTCCTTTTCCAGCTACCCACATCTACTATTTTCTGACATGCAAGACATCCTCCTTCCTTCCCAACCAAAGCAGAGAAATATCTTGCAAGTGCAATTTTTTTTGCACTCTCACCTCACAATCCTTTCCTGTTCCTGAAAGCCCTTCCTATTCTTCCACCTGACCCCAAATTCCCTTAAGATACCTACTGAAGGAACCCCAGCTTCTCTCTCTGCAGCCCGCCCCCCATACCTGTTATTAATCTAACCAATCCAAAACTTTCTCCTCCAGTATTCTTCCTGACTTTTCCTCGTTTCCCCCAATGCTTCCACTGCAGATTGTAAATTCCTCGATGGCAGGGGACTTGAGCCCACCTTGTGGGCTTTAGTTTTTTTGCTTTTAAAATAGGTGCTATTAAGGCCTGCAGATTCAGCGAGGGGCAACTATGTGCATCTCCCCAAAATAGATAATTATTCCCCAATCACCTTTCCACTTCCCTCCCCAAGCAACGACGTCTCACTTCTCTTCTTGAGATCAGCAACCTGCAAGCTCCACCCGGGAAAGGAGCCATTCTATCTGGGGAGAAACCATACTATAATTCACCTTTCCAACACCCACCCACCCACCAAGGAACCCCACACCAGAATGCCAGGGGAAAAAACCCGATCCCCGCCCTCATATCAAGCCCATGCCCTACCCAAGGGAGGAGCCATTCATCCTCCACCCCACCCAGCAATTCCTCAATGGGCGGAACCACATAGCCAGTCCCCCAACTAACCTACTACGAAGAGGGGAGTCCTCGAAAAGGCTTGATACTGAAGAAAAGACGACAACGGAGAAGGATGGAGCAGTAACGGTCAGTAGCAACCGTAAAACTGCTTCGCTTGGGAGGAGACCGGAAGCCGGGCTGTCTGGGAAGACCAACCAACGATATGCGCCACGCCTTCCTTCTTACACCGTCCGCAGCCACAGAGCTTCAGCGGCCTAGAAGGGCACACCCACTTCCTTCCGGTAAAAACACGCCTATCTCTGTAAGAGAGGGACGCTGCTCCGTTAAAAGGTTCGATGCGACTGCATTGTCAAATTATACCTTCCGGGATTGTCCAATCCTTCCGAAACAGCTTTTCGTTTTTAGCTCTCCAGACCGAGGTTTGGAAAGCCTGGAGAGGGTTTCCACATGTAAATTTATGGGGCATTTGCTTCAACGTCAAGAGCGACTCTTCTCCCGCCGGAGAGTCCTCCCAACGGGACTAACGCCTGTTTGCCTTCTCTGTAACTCTATGGTGCGATAGAAAGAAACTAAAGGAAATTCTAGCGCGGCCTGAATTTCGGCAGCACCGAAACTGCAAAGCGGTAGCAGCGGCAGCACCGCCGAGGGGGCAGCCGCTGTGGACGGAGTGGGGTCGAGGTGGGGAAAATCCTGACCGGTCACTCTCCGGCACGCGGGGCGCAGGAGTGTAAAAGCACCCTTGTAATTTTCCCGCCCGTTTTTTTTCCTGCGGGATGTCTGACCCCTGCCATGAACACCATACAATTTAATGGCCAGAGCCATTCCTGCCATCAGGCGGCTTCCTTTATTGGTTTCATTCGGGCTTAATTCGGTTGAAAGCACTTTAAAAATATATATTAAAAAGATAGAAGGGGGAAAAAATCTGAAGAAAATGATAGATATAAGGTGTGTTTGTGCAAAGTTCTTACTCATAATTAAACTTGGTGGCCTCAATGCAACCTCGTTTGCATGGCAGGATGGACTATGGGCTTTGAGTTCACACAACGTATTAGGCTAAAATGTGTATGATGTGGGCTTGGTGCATCCAGCAATGATGGAGAGCCATATGGGAATTATAGCTATTATATGCATCTTCATCGTCCTTGAGTGAAATAGCTTACTGTATTAAATAACTTGCCATTTTTCAATTAGAAATGAAAAGGTCAATAATTTAAATATATCCATCTATCATTCTAGAAAGTTTTAGGGCTTTTGTAATAATGTCTTCTGAAACCCTGTTCTGTTTTGTTTCATTTATGAATTATTTTGGAAAGTTTGTTCTTTTCATTCCAGAAGAGACCATGGCAGAACATGGGGCTCATCTCACTGCCACCTCCACATATGAGGACAGGCCTTCTATATTTGAAGTTGTTGCCCAAGACAGTTTGATGACTGCTGTGAGGCCAGCATTTCAACATGTGATCAAGGTAAGAATGGTTGGTGAGTGAGTATTGAGGGAAGGATAACTATTATTTTTCTGTGCTTTATCTAAGGTTAAATAATGGTCAGAACAATGAAGAAAATATGAAAGCATGGAAGGACAGGGGGAAAAATTGCATGCATATGTGACATCCATTTTTTTTTTTTAACAATTGGAAGATTTATTTCAGGTTCCAGATACAGAAAGAGAATCCTTCCTCAGATCTTGTAAAGCTCTGTAGTCAGACCAGGATAATCAAATCAGTGACTTTCCATTAAGCTTACAATGGAAAGCTAGATCATATCTATAAATTATAATTCATAGCTTAGAATTTTATTTATTTTTCTGCTGAAAATAATTAAAGCAAATCCAGTTTAAAATAATAACATCAACATGGATTCCAATTTATGAGTACTGCCTTGAAACTTTCCAACAATTATGAAATTTTGAATTTTAAGAGAAAATTATGAAATATTACAATAATGTTAACTGCATTGTTACTGTATTTTTATATCTATTTTTGTCTTTGTGTGTGTGCTAGCTACATCCTCTTTTCATGTCTTGATCCTGATCCAGTAATGGGACACAACTTCTAGCATGTCATTCAAAAGCCACAGAGTCCTCATCTTGAAAAAGGCTGTGTTATCTTGCAACAATTAAAAAAAACAAAAACCACAAAGTAGCCAAAACAAAATTTCAAACATGTTTCATGTTTCAAACATTGATAAAAACGTCATGACACATCCAGGTTTATTACTCTTACCCTCAATTGTCTTTTGTACTAGGTATTGGCTGAATCCAACCCTTCATATTATGGTTTCCTGTGGCGCTGGTTTGACGAAATCTACACCGTCCTGGATCTTCTACTCCAGCAGCACTACCTCTTCCGGTGCAGTGCTTCTTTTTCTGAAAACTTCTACGGCTTGAAGAGAGTTGCACTGAAAAAGAAAAGGAATCAGCAGATATCCTTGGTCACTGCTGGACTTCCCCAAAAGCATCACTGGAAATCTCTCTGCTTGTTGGTCCTTGTTCCATATCTGAGAACTAAACTGGAAAAGTTGATCTCCCGTCTCCAGGAAGAGGACGATTATTCTATCCACCCACCGTCATCTTGCTGGAAGCGGTTTTACAAGGCCTTCCTGGCTGCCTATCCCTTTGTGAACATGGCTTGGCAGGGCTGGTTTCTGGTGCAGCAGTTATGTTACATTCTGGGGAAGGCTCAGCATCACTCCCCGCTGCTGAGACTGGCTGGTGTGTATTTGGCTAGGCTGACAGCAGAAGATCTGCGGGCTTTGGAAAATGTACCTGTAGCTGCTGGTGACATCCTGCAGTCATCAAACAGGTGAATAGAAGTGAAAACCCTAAAAACAATCTCCCCCCTTGCTGATTTTGCTTGCTTCCTTCAATTATTGGGTATATTTATATACTCACAATGTTTGTATATCATTTAAAAAGTAATACTTGCCAGGTGGTTAATCATTAAAAATGTAGACCATAAAGATGAAAGTTTAAGAAAAAGATCTTATTACTACACCTGGGAAAATTTAAGAAACAAAAGCATCTTCAGCAAGCACCCCAAAGATTGAAATAGGTCAAGACTCTCTAAAATCTATTATGTAGGCAGTCCTTGACTTACAACCATGATTGGGACCAAAATTTCCATTGCTAAGCAAGGCATTTTAAGAGTGGCTCCTGATTTTATGATCTTTTTTGCCATGGTTGTTAAGCAAATCACTTCAGTTATTGAGTGAATCATATGGTTGTTAAGCAAATCTAGTTTCACCCATTAACTCTGCTTGTTGGAAGCCAGCTGGGAAGATCACAAATGGCAATCACATGACCCTTGGACATTGTAAATACCTGCTGGTTGCCATGTGCCCAAATTTTGATCATGCGACTGGATGTTGTATCCATGATAAGTGTAAGGACTGGTCTTTCGTTTTTTTTTTTCCCAGTGCTGTTGTAACCTTGAGCTAAATGAATGGCTGTAAGTCAAGGATTACCTGTGGTTTTTAGCAAGTTCACCTACAGAGTAAAGTAATGGCTAAGATTTTTTCCTATTTTTGAAGATCAGTTTCTCTAACAGTCATTTGAGAGCCATATGTTGAGTGGGAATTTTCTGTTTACAACTTTTTATACTCTCCTATTTTTTTCTTCCTCAAACTAATCTTAGAAAAAAATTGGGGGGCGTTATACCTCCAATTGCTAAATGCTGGAAACCAGGTATTTGGATGAATAGCTAATCATAGCTGTATCTCGGGGATTTATGGCTTTTTCTCTTAGAGAATTCAGGAGATTGACTTTTTATTGTAACCCTGAATTTGCATCTTGACGCTTTCCATGTTTCTTAATAATAGTGTGAATTTTGTTATTAATTTATTTTTTTATATCTTTCCCCTTTCTGCAGCATGAAAGAGCAAATACAGTCAGCTGGGAAAAAAATCTTGGGGGGCCTGGCTTTCTCCCTCTCCACCGGCCTCTCTGTGGGCATCTTCTTCCTCCAGTTCTTGGAGTGGTGGTATTCGGCTGAGAATCAGGAGACCATCAAATCGCTGACTGCTATGCCAATCCCACCACCACCTGTGCACCTGGACTACGAGACCGATTCACCTCTCTTGCCAAAGCTCAAGACAATATGCCCATTGTGTCGTAAAATCCGTGCCAACGATACAGCCCTCTCCACCTCTGGCTTTGTTTTCTGCTATCGCTGCATCTACCATTATGTGAAGCATCACCAGCAGTGTCCCATCACTGGCTATGCCACTGAACTTCAGCACCTTATCAAATTATACGCACCTGAAAACTGACCGGTCCATTCTTCAATTTTTATATAAAAACTGGAATGCTACATTGCAGAATTGGGTGGTTTTTTTCTGATTGTACTAAGCATGACCTTTAAGAGGGTAGCTATGGGTTATACTAGCTGTTTGGAGAATCAATAGAAGTCAACTGTTGTCTTTGGACCATCTCACCTAATATCTAATAAGTGAAAACAGATTAGCTGAGAAAGATTAGACAGAAAGAAGGCCCAATCTGTTTCTCATCAGGATGACTTGAGGCACATTTCCAAGGGTAAACTACTTTTCCTAGAAACAATTGGTCATTAACTGGCCAGCTCAGGGTTACAGACCAAGTTGTGAGCAGGTTTTAGAAAAAAATAGCTTTAATAGAAGCAGCCTAAAACTAAGAAGAAAATTCCTGATAGAACAATTTGCCTCCAGAAGTTGTGAATGCTCCAACACTGGGGATTGGACAACCATTTGTCTGAAATGGTATAGGGTCTCCTGCCTGAGCAGCGGGTTGGACTAGAAGACCTCCAAGGTCCCTTCCAATTCTGTTATTCTATTCTAATTTCATCATACATTATACATTGATAACTTTCAGTTGCACACTGCTGTAAGTGACCATGAAAAGACAGAAAAGCTGCTGAGAGGAACCTAAGCAGCTAACCTTTAAATATTTTCTAGCAGCAGCAAGGTAGCAGTTGTTACCTATAAAGCATTCACAGCAAGGAGCTGGTTTATTTACAAAACCTCATCTTCCTCATTTCTGTCCATCCCACCAGGTCCAACTGGAGGGGCACGCTCTGGGTCCTCAATTGAAGAAGTGGGCCCTAGGTCCACTATGACATAGGAAGCAGGGGTTTTTTGTCATAGTACCTGCCTTCTGGAACACCCTATGCCCAAGGTTATATTGGCCCTTGATGCTACTGATCTTTTGCAAAGCACTAAGATCTGGATGTTCTCCAGAATATTGGGATTGAAAAGGATAGCCTATGAAATGAGATGAGATTGTATTGTTCAGTTTTTATTGGGTTTTTAGCAATCACTGTAGGTTCTTCATATTTTCTTGATCATTGTTTTTGCATTGTTTTTATGTTTGCCACCCAAAATCACAGCTGCAAGCCATGTAAGTCAAACAAATGATACATTCCTCAAAATAAACACATAAGAAACTGCTTAACAGAGATTGCCTTTGTACATCATGATAAATATTAACATTGTATTACAAATGCTTTTATGTTGCTTCAATCAGTTTTTACTTTAAGAGACTCTATGAGAAAAACAAGCCCAGAACAATCTGAGATTTGAATTCTAACTCTTCTGGAAAAAGTGCAAGATTATAAGCTTCTGTTTGATAAAATGAAAGTTGGCTTTGGTAAACAAGGTTACAAATACAAACCCAACCATTTGGGGGACTCAACAAGATGTCTGAACTGTTAAATCCGGAATCCTTTTGATGCGTTACATAAAAAGGTGTAATAGGGGATAGAAAACTGGTATTTTTTCTCCCATGCTTCTAAATAAAATGCAGGGGATTGATTCTGGATTTTTTGTTTTTGGGATATTTTTGCTTCCTTAATGGTTTTAACATGAGTCAGCTTGGTAGGGTGACAGATCACTCAATGGTTGTGTTTACAAAATAGGCTATATCAGGATCTGCTAGAGATATCCAATGCATAAAACATTGCTTACAAATTAAGATTGCTCAGAATAGCTCAACATGTGTGAATCCATTCCATCTGTTTTCCATCAACCTAAACTGTCTCCCTCTTGTTTGAGGAAGGAACAACTATTTGTCTATAAGTAGCACTGAAATACATCTGGCAGTCTATAGTTAGGTCACTTTCATCCATCCTCCATAGTCAATTTTGTAGTAAGCCCATCAGATAACTTATTAATAAAAGCTCTCTGTGGATTCGTCTCCAACACCAAGCCTTACAAGATCTCTGGATTTCAGCAAGACCCCACAGCTCAAACTTGTTTTTTGCTTTCCTTCCCCTTTCTGTCTCATCGGCCTTTTGTTTCAAGCCATTTTTTTCTACCCTTCCCAAAAGACAGTCATCTATATGCAAAGTCCACCATGGAAGGCCTCTTCTATACAATATCATGGCAACACAGCCTATTGATCTGTTACACTAGTCATTTTCTTTATCTGGATCAGTAACATAGACTTACAGTGTTGAATTTATGTTAACTGACAAATAAAGGGAGACTACTATAGATCTATTTCAAGCTATTTAGCTCTCATCAGCTAGCCATAACCTTTTGGGATTCAAACCTAGACTACTTGCATATTCAGTAGATGTACAGACTTACAGAGTTTACAAAACTGTTGTCCTTTGTATGCAAATCTTGCAACTCTGTGTCCTCTGCTACATGAGTCTTTTTTAAAATAGAATGTTGCTAGGAAGAATTATTTTGGAAATACCTTGTATAAGCATAACATTCTTGTTACTGCCTCTGGTCTTGTCAACAGTAAGCCATCACCTGTACAAAATAAAATCCAGTTGTTACTGTTTTCATAGAATCAATGTTGGAAGGGACCATTTGGCCTTCAGTCCAATCACCTGTGCAAGAATCCAAATCAAAGCATCCCCTCTCCTTCACATCCAGTGAAAGGAGGTCCACTACCTCCTATTATGCAGCTTTTACTGTTAGGTTTTTCAGACTAGCATCATCGAAAGTTTATAACATAGTGGAAACAGTGCCCAAATAATCACATCATAGAATCAACTGTTTATTTGCCATTCCCTGTGAAAAACATATCATTTTTTCCTATAGAACTCAAGTAGGTCCATTCCAAACTTTGTATTTACCCTGGTGGTCCCTTTTCTACAATGAAAAGAAGTACATATCTTTCTCTGGTGAGAAAATGGCTTTGCTGTGAGAAAGAGCTTCTGCATTTTTAACTCCATCTGATATTTCCCTCTAGGATTTTTCTTTGACATGTCAGTTGTCAACCCTTGTAACTGGAAGGCACTGGTGTTCTCCATTCTAAAAACTAGCATTTTTTCTATTTCTGCTTCCCAGAGAAAGTGGGAAGAATAACTCAAGTTTTCACCCACCAATCACTGAAGAAAAATAATCTTCACATGTGCAAAGGTCTACTTAAACTACTTTAAATGCAATAGATTCAACCCCTCCCTCCCATGAAATCTATTTCTGTCCCAAACATGTCCAGCAATAACTTAGAACTAAGGAGAAATCTCCTGAGAGTTAAGAACAATTAATCAGTGGAACAACTTGCCTCCAGAAGTTGTGAATGCTTCAACTCTGGAAGTTTTTAAGAAGATGTTGGATAACCATTTGTCTGAAATGCTACAGGGTTTCCTCTAAGCAGGGGGCTTGGACTAGATTCTAGAAGACCTCCAAGGTCCCTTCCAACTCTGTTATTCTATTCTGTTCTATTCCGTACTATGTTCTGTTCTATATTCTGTATTCTTTTCTATTCTATATTCTATTCTGTTCTACTCTATTCCGATTCCTACTCCGACTCTACTCTCCCACAGATCCAGAGACAAATGCAAACAGAATTCCCAGGGGACCCAGACTGCCAAAACCAGCTCAGAGAGAAGATTACGTGATCACGCCCTGGTCAGAGTCAAAACCAAAGTTCTGACAATACCAGTTCAGACTAGACTTCACTCATCATTGCCTTTGGCACACCTTGCAGGAACCTCTTTGTCAGACCATGTACAGTACTCCAATACTGTAGCCACTCACATTATTTTTGCAATTCAGTATCACAAAACGATATTTCTAGGAAGATGGATTTTAGAATGTGGGCATAAAAAGCCACAGAAGGCACCACTAGTCTCCTAGGTGGCCACTTTTCATCCAACTTTCTGTTCCTTAATGGTGAACAATTGCTGGTCCCACTCAGCCTCTGGGACGGGCCTTCTGCTCTGCTTGTCATGTCTCTTATGTCGTGTTCCTACAATCCGCTAAACCAGAGGTCCCCAAACTTGGCCACTTTAAGACTTGTGGACTTCAACTCTCAGAATCAGAATTCTGGGAGTTGAAGTCCACAAGTCTTAAAGTGGCCAAGTTTGGAGACCCCTGAGCTAAACCAGCATTTATCACCCTTGACAGCTTTAAGATGTGTGGACTTCAATTCCCAGATTTCTGGCTGGGGAATTCTGGGAGTTGAAGTCCACAAGTCTTCAAATTGCCAAGGTTGAGGAACCCTTCGCTAAACCCTGGTTTTCTTAACTGTAGTTTCTTGAAACACTCTAAATGATTAAAGTTCAGTTTACCGAACTTTACAGAAACGTAAACTTTACAGAAACGATAAACCTTAAATATATATATAAGCCAAATTCATACGCCTACCACGTATTCAGCAGGGGCCGCGTTGCTCCGACATTTTAAAGTCCCGCGTCAAGGGAGGGAAGGACTTCCAGACGAAGCTTCCGGTCCCAACTCGGCAGGCCTAGAGCAGTCTGGATCTCACTTCCTGTTTCCGGTCGCTCACAGGATCCTTTTAAACTTCAACTCCCAACAATCATTGCGCGAGGGAAATATCAAATTTTTTCACGAGAGTTTCCTTCCCACCCGCCCCTTAGCTCAAGGCTTCAACTGGGCGGTGCTTTTTTTTTTTGCGTGCTAGTAAATTCTGTAATCCAAAATATTTTTGAATACATTCTATAGCTGCATTCTATATTCTATTTTCTTCAATTTATCTGCTAGCCAAACTTTGGACGTGAAATTGTTTAGACTATTGGGCAAAACGAGTCTAGGTTTCGATAGCTTTTAAGATACATCTGTTGTAATAATACTGTATTTTAGTTAATATATAATGCCACATGCTACTAAGATTTTAAAATCAGTCAACTATGATGTTTTAAGTTTAATAAAATATTTAAAATACTTTTTTAAAAAAATCATGTAGGCAAACACTCAAAAAAATCCAAAATGGGGTGTGTTTTGCAGACCTGTGCAGCCAAGGAAAGATTTAAGCTATATCTACGGTAATAAAGTGACTGCTTTACCAAACTTTTTTTCATGGTAAATCTATTAGTCTTTTAAGATGCTGCAGGTGTTTTATGAATGGGAAGGACACTTTGATTTGCTTTATAAATGAAAAATGACTAGGCTGGGACTAAAACAGTAAAGAACCACAATCTCTAAAAATAGGAGTGGGTGAGGTGAGGGGATTACCCTTACTTGGTCTCCTACCAGTGGAATCCATAATCAATGTGGCAGAGGTCTAATATCACATTTTTTTTTCTCCTTAACCAGTAATTTAGGGGAAAGAACAAAAAAGGAAAATGTCATCCCATTTATGTTTGATTGAATATTATCGCCAGGGCGATGAGGGGGTTATTGGTTTTATACTGGGTTTTTATCTTTGTAAGCCATCAGAGGTCACTGTGGGGTGACATAAATTTTCTTCAATAAATAAATAAATAAATATTAACTGAGAAAGAAAAACCTAGTACAGGTAGTCCTCAACTTAAAACAGTTCATTTAGTGACTATTAAAAGTAACAATGGCACTGAAATGTGACTTCTGACCTGCAACGTCCCCATGGTCACATGATCAGACTCTGGGCAACTACCATAATTCATATTTATGACAGCTGCAGTGTCCTGGGGTCATGTGGTCCCCTTTTGCAACCTTCTGACAAGCAAAGTCAATGGGGAAGCCAGATTCACTTAACTAACAACAACTGCAGTGATTCACTTAACACCTGTGGCAAGAAACGTAAAATGGGGCAAAACTCATTTAACAATTATCTTGCTTAGCAAAAGAAACCTTGGGCTCAATTGTCGTAAATTGAGGACTACTATAGCTGGAAGCCAACTGTAAAAACTTAGGTCATCTGATCCACATTAGCCAACTGCAAACCTCAGATGCAATTGGCATCAAAATGTCTGTTTAAAAATAGTATTTATTTCATGGAAGTGTTGGAAGAAATATCCTTCTGGGATCAGTTCCAAGTAGGGAAGAAAGACACTGCTTGGAAAGTTGGTTTATTGGTGGACAGGATCACATGGCTTGGAGATCCTGGGTGAAAAGGAAAGAAATGCAGAGAGTCCCTGGGTTTTATGCCCTCTGCTGGGATTTGAATTTGAGCTCGTATTCTGATTGGTTGTCAGACTCCCATGGGGCCATGCAGGGGCAACTGTAGGCTGTCCTGAGTCCCAGGCTTGGTTGAGCCTTGCTGGATGATGATGTAATGAAAGGGCTTTGGGCAATTCCTATTATGGCTCTACCTGGAGTGGATCTTTGTTATGTAAAATAGACTGGCCCAGGCATTAACAAAAGTGGGGGGACTAAGTTTCTGCCTCTCTAGAGTTTCTACTTCTCTTTTAGGGAAAATATTCTGCCTTTTTAATATATCCTAAAATATTTTATTTTCCTAGGAGACGGGTGGGTTTAACTTCTAACAGAAGAAAAAAACAGAAAAGAGAAACACAGAAAGAGGGTTGGGCTTAGCAAAAAAAAAAAAGATTGGATTGAGAGAGCAGGTGTCATCAAAGGAACAAAAAGGTAAGCTTAATTAAAATGGAGAGAGTGCCTTATTGGAAAACTGGTTGTAAAAGGAACTGGCGAGGCTTTAAGCAGACATGAAATAAAAATAACCACATTAATACAATCCTGATCCCAAGAGTTTGTGTGTGACTTTCCCCCCTGTGTCTTGGAAAAGTCTGTTATTCT